GTGCAGTGGCTTATGCCTATAATCCCAGCACTTTGGGAGGTCAAAGTGGGCGGATCACTTGAGGTCAAGAGTTCGAGACCAGCCTGGCCAACATGGTGAGATCCTGTCTCTACTAAAAATACAAAATCAAATAGCTGGGAATGGTGGTGCACACCTGTGATCCCAAGTACTATGGAGGCTGAGGCATGAGAATCACTTGAACCTGGGAGATGCAGGTTGCAGTGAGCAGAGATAGTGCCACTCCACTCCAGCCTGGGTGACAGAGTGAGACTCTGTCTCAAAAAAAAAAAAAAAGAATAATAATTGTAGGTGCCGTTTATTGGTATCCTTACTATAAATTAGGTTCTGGATTATTAAAAATTCTTGGCTGGGCGCAGTAGCTCACGCCTATAATCCCAGCATTTTGGGAGGCCGAGGCAGGCAGATCACCTGAGGTCGGGAGTTTGAGACCAGCCTGATCAACATGGAGAAACCCCGTCTCTACTAAAAATACAAAATTAGTTGGGCATGGTGGTGCACGCCTGCAATCCCAGCCACTCAGGAGGCTGAGGCAGGAGAATTGTTTGAACCCGGGAGGCGGAGGACGTGGTGAGCCAAGATCATGCCACTGCACTCCAGCCTGGGCAACAAGAGCAAAACTCCATCTCACACACACACACACACACACACACACACACACACAAATTCTCTCTCTCAGTTGCAACACACATATGTGCACAAATGTACACACATATGCACAAGCATATAGGATACTTTGCTGGACGTAGGCCTATGATCAGCAGCCCAGCACCAAGATAAACAATAGTGTGAAAAAATATCCTAGGTCTCTGTTAATAATTGAAGCTAGTGCTACCATAATTTTACACCAAAAATGCCCTATCAAGAAAAAGAAAAGTCTGGGTACAGTGGCTCATGCCTGTAATTCCAGGACTTTGGGAGAGGCCAAGCAGGGAGGATTGCTTGAGCCCAGGAGTTCGAGATCAGCCTGGGCAACATAGTGAGACCTTGTTTCTACACAATAATTTTAATTAAAAAAAAATTAGCCAGGCATGGTGGCATGTGCCTGTAGTCCCAGCTACTCAGGAGGCTGAGGTGGGAGGATTGCTTGAGCCTGGGAGGTTGAGGCTGCAGTGAGCTGTGATCACGCCACAGCACTCCAACCTGGGCAACAGAGTAAGACTGTGTCTCAAAAGAAAAGAAAATACTTTGGGGAAATATATTCTATGCCCAAACAGCATCTTTTTATAACAGTCATTAAGGGAGTAAATGTACACAGGCAGTATGCATGAACTATGGTCACAAAAAGCTCTGCAAGATAAAAGATCACCTTCAGCAGCTAAGCTATGGACCCTTTGCCTAGTCAGCGACTGGATCCAGCCTCATGGCTGGGCTGACATTGCAGCTTCAGAGTTACTCTAAGCTACTCATAACCTTGGCCCAAATTGTGGGTTCTCTGAGCAAGGACAGGGTGGTGAGCATACCAAGAGGGCAGGATGCATGCATTGCAGGGTTTTTTGGAACAGGGATGAAATTAACCCAGTCGGCCTATCCAGTGGTTGCACCTGCAGGTCTAAGACAGGAGCTACAGAGGCAGCCATTTCCTGAAACTTGACAAGTGGGGAGCAAAAGAGAGTCTGTGACTCCTTGAGGATGAGAGCATCTCCTTCCTACTCCTCCCCTCTTGGAGGGTTTGTGCTGGACACTTGAGCAATTCCATCCCAGCAGGTGCAAGTGGAAGCAGTTGTAGCTGTACAACGTCTAGGTGGAAACTAGAGGATGGGGGATTACTATTTCTCCCACCCACTTTGCCTTGAGCTTGGCTGCCTCTGGGCCCTAGGGGAGCCTGTGCTCCACGTATCAAATTACCCTACACTTCCACCCTCAGAGATCCATTTCAATTCACATGGCCTCCCTCCTAAAGCTTTACTAGTCCACCCAATCGCACTGGTTGCAAGGTTGCTTAGAGTGGGTCTGTCATTTTCTCTTCTCATCTCAACTTCAGTACAGGTCATATGGAGTTCTGGGAAGAATGCCAAGGCACTCTGATATGTTTGTGCTGAAATATTGTGGTAATCAAATATTATGTGAAATAAGTTGGCCATCAGCCAAAGATTGGAGCTCTTGTTAGTTAAACAGAGATTTGGCAGTGCTAATATTGGATGTGATAGTCTTTGCACTTGATGTCGATTACTATGACTTCTAGTTATTTTACATTTTTCTCCAAATAGCACCTAATGATAACCATTAGTTAGACTTTCAGCATTTGAAGAATTAACAGCCTAGATCTGGACTCTAAGGCCCTCGATGTGTAATTCTGTGAAGCACATATTTTCTTTCTTTCTTTTTTAATGTACTGCTTTGTTCGCTAATGCCTCCAGGTATATTTCTCTCCCTGTGAACAAGGACGTGCATAGTAGAAGTCACATCTTAAAAATAAGTTTGAGTATAAATCTGTTGATTGAAACTGAAGCACATATTTTCAGCTGATAGGTTCCAAAGTTGATGTGGGCCAGGCACGGTGGCTCATGCCTATAATCCCAGCACTTTGGTAGGCCGAGGCAAGTGGATCCCTTGAGCTTAGGAGTTCGAGACCAGCCTGGGCAACACAGTAAGACCTCACCTCATCTCTACAAAAAAATGAGCCTGGTCACATGCCTGTAATCCTAGCTACTTTGGAGGCTGAGGTGGGAGGGATGCTTGAGCCTGGAAGGTTGAAGCTGCAGTGAGCCTCTGCACTACAGCCTGGGTGACACAAGGACACTTTGTCTCAAACAACAACAACAACAAAACCAAAGGTGTGTGGGAGTGAGCCATTTAGCTAGGGAGTGAGCCTAGCTTGTGGGAACAACTGCCCATCATCTGTTGTTCTCCACTTGTCCTTGAATGTGGAGCAACTCTCTTACAAAAAGTGACCGGAAAAAGAATGCTGGGGATAGAGGGGAAAAAAAGATAAAGAGCCCAAGAAAATGAATGACCTTAGTGAGAAAACAGAATTTCTAGGCCGGGCGCGGTGGCTCATGCCTGTAATCCCAGAAGTTTGGGAGGCCAAGGCGGCGGATCACTTGAGGTCATGAATTTGAGACCATCTTGGCCAACAGGGTGAAACTCAGTCTCTACTAAAAGTACAGAAATTAGCTGGGTGTAGTGGCATGCACCTGTAGTCCCAGCTACTCAGGAGGCTGAGGCAGGAGAATCACTTGAACCCGGGAGGTGGAGGTTGCAGTGAGTTGATATCGCGCCACTGCACTCCAGTCCAGGTGACAGTGCAAGACTCGGTCTCAAAAAAAAAAAAAAAAGGAAAGAAAAAAAAGAAAGAAAAAACAGAAATTCTGAATACATTAAAGAGTAAAATAACCAATTTAGTAGTAGTTCAGATCTACTACATGAACAAGTTCCCCATACACTCTATACAAAAATAAAAGGCAATTAGCAAAAGTGTTTGAGTGTTTCAGCCAGTACAAAAACCGACTTTATTCTGGTATTTATCTAATCATTAAGGTTCAGAAGGTCACTGAAAATATGCAGGTATGCTTTCCCATGCTACAGGGTGAAAATTATATGCTATGATCATGTTCGCAAATTTGGGGTATTTAAGATCTAAGAAAAAAAAATTTTTTTTTTTTTTTTTTTTTTTGAGACAGAGTCTCGCTCTGTTGCCCAGGATGGAGTGCAGTGGCGCGATCTCGGCTCACTGCAAGCTCCGCCTCCCAGGTTCACGCCATTCTCCCACCTCAGCCTCCCAAGTAGCTGGGACTACAGGCGCCCGCCACCACGTCTGGCTAATTTTTTTTTTTGTATTTTTAGTAGAGACGGGGTTTCACCATGTTAGCCAGGATGGTCTCGATTTCCTGACCTTGTGATCCTCCTGCCTCGGCCTCCCAAAGTGCTGGGATTACAGGCATGAGCCACCGTGCCCAGCCAAAGACATTCTTAAAGAAGGAACTGTTATCCCTCATATTTGTTTGATTGGTGCTCAGTGGTTTCCAAAGTGCTTTCATGTGCTCAAGAGATGTTGCTGGCAGCAGTTAAGAGAAGCAGGGGGAGGAACAAGGGGTCAACCAGGCCTGAGTCCTCATTATGGTGCTACTTCTTCTGTGTTGCCTCAGTTAAGTCCCTTATCCTCCCCAAGACTGTGTCTCCACCTGTTTCATGAGGATACAAATGCTACTTGCTCTGCTCACTTCGCAGAGTCCTGGTAATGTCCAAAGAGCTAATGTGAGAAAGTGAAAAGTATAATGAATGGTTCCTGTGGCATTCACTCATTCATTCATTTCACAGATATTACCGCACTCTGTTTGTGCTGTGATTAGCAGATAGAGGGGGCTAAGACCAGTTTCCACTGTTGAGATTAAATGTGTAGGTAGAAGCCAGGCACAGTGGCTCACACCTGTAATCCTAGCACTTTGGGAGGCCAAGATGGGTGGATTACTTGAGCTCAGGAGTTCGAGACCAGCCTGGGCAACATAGGTGAGACCCCATCTCAAAAAAAAAAAAAAAAAAAAGTCTAGGTAGAGAGATAGGTAAAGGGAATAAAAGAATGTTGCATACAGCTGTGTGGTGCCTGTATGAGCTCAAACTAAACTAAGCACAGCAAAACTACGGAGGAAACAGACCCAACCCACTGCCCACAGCTGGTGGGCAGGCGTTTTTCCTCAGCTATCCCCTCCCTCCCAATTCTGCCCTGGCTCCTGTCTTCTGTAGTCAAAATGAACTCTGCAGCCGTCCTGAGCCAGCCAGCTCCCTTACAGAATTTCCACTGGGTCTCACATAGCTCAGTTTCCCCCCAAGATATGGCCCTATACTCTGGTCTGGCCAGGGGAAAAAAGTAATTACAGCCATCTGCTTACAAAAAACAGGCAGAGAGATAAAAGAAGAGGGGAGAGACACTCTCACAACTAAATCAGAATGAAACACTATTTAACCTAATTACCTGCAAAGCCGTATCCAGCCATTAAGGATCCATATTCTGTAATAGAATTTCCTGCTATGGAAATACTCACCCACGCACAGGATGTTGAAGCAGAAGCCCTGGCTGACGGACTTATTCACCAGCTGGTCAGGCAAGCTGTCAAACCCCACATGTCCAGCCAGGGGGACAGTTCGGCAACCTTCACCCTAATTTGGAAGGAATGGGGGAGAAAATGAAAATGTGCTTAAAAGCAGTCTGAGTCTCACTTCTCCATCCAAATGTTCGCTGTGCAAGGAAGTCACACCCACCCAGGTCCAGTGTGTCATCTCTTCCCTCAGCTACTCCCTGCTCCAAAGCAAAATGGCCCGTCAGCTTGGAAATCACAGATTCTTAGAGACAGGCATCCTCTAGGCTCAATAGTGAATGTTGCCACAGCTCCAGAGAAAATTACAGAGGAGCTTATTAGGGGCAGGAGAGTGGAGTCAGGGGAGGAGAATGCTGGCACCGGAGGTTCACAGACTCAGGTTAAATCTCCACTCAGTCATTTACAAGCTGAGTAACTTGCTGAGACTGTTTCCTTCCACATCTGCCATCTGAGATAATATGGCATATCTTAGAGGTGACTGGGAGCCTCAGAAGCGCTAATACATGTAACGAGCTTAGTACATGCAGAAGTGTTCAGTAAGTATTACGAAAAGGGTTTAAAAAGCAATTATTGGGCCGGGTGCGGTGGCTCACACCTGTAATCCCAGCACTTTGGGAGACCGAGGTGGGTGGATCACTTGAGGTCAGGAGTCCGACACCAGCCTGGCCAACATGGCGAAACTCTGTCTCTACTAAAAAAACAAAAAGTAGCCGGGCATGGTGGTGGGTGCCTGTAATCCCAGCTACTTGGGAGGCTGAGGCAGGAGAATTGCTTGAACCCTGGAGGTGGAGGTTGCAGTGAGCTGAGATCATGCCACTGCACTCCAGCCTGGGCAACAAAAGCGAAACTCTGTCTCAAAAAAAAAAAAAAAAAATCAATTATTGACTGGCAAAATGTCTTACACCTGTAATCCCAACACTTTGGGAGACCAAGGTGGGTGGATCACTTGAGGCGAAGAATTTGAGACCAGCCTGGGCAACACAGTGAGACAACGTCTCTACAAAAAATCAAAAATCAGCTGAGCGTGCTGGCATGTGCCTGTGTAGTCCCAACTACTTGGGAGGCTGAGGTGGGAGGACTGCTTGTGTCCAGGAGGTAGAGGCTGCAGTGTGCTATGATGGCACCACTGCACTCCTGCCCAGGCGACAGAGCAAGATCTTGTCTTAAAAAAAAAAAAAAAAAGCAATTGTTCCTCTCTCTAGGACACTTTGAGGATCTACAAAGGCAGCGTAGTGTAGAGGTTAAGAGCAGAGGCTTTGAAATCTGGCAGGTGTGAGTTACAGCCCCATCTCCGCCACCTCCTGGCTGTGTCACCCTCAGACAAGTTACATAAACTTCTCAAGTTTTCCCCATCCATAAAATTGGAAACTATTGAGTAGGAGTGTGAGGATTATACAGGATCACGCTCCTCAAGCCCTTAGCGCAGTGCCTAGCATGTGGTGAGCATTCAATCAGCAGTAGCTGCTGCTGTTATTCACTGTGGGGTTATCTTTACACCCCCAGCCTAAAGGGTACTGCACGGAACACTGTGGCTCCCTATGGCTACAAGAAGCTGCCTCCGCGCTTCCTCTGGGTCCCTTGACTCCCTAAGGGTCAGCCAAGCCACTCCCAGCCCTGGAAAGCAGAGGGCCTTTGCTTTGCCTGCAAGACCCAAAGCTGCTTATAGTTAATGATTTTAAAAAACAGGAGGAGCCTCAAACTGGGACAGGATTCCAAGGAGCCAGGGGGAAGCATTAAAGGGGCCTGCATGGACTCAAGAAATGTGCCAGCTACCAACCAACGGCCACAGGGGAGCGGAGGGGACAGGAGAGAAGGGAAGCTGGAGACAGCTAAGTTGAGTCAGTTTCTGTTGGGTGGGGCTGCACCAAGCTTTCCATAACTAGAAAGATGCCAAGAGCAATCCAAGAAGGGCATGGTTAGTGCCAGGAGGCCCAGCCCAGAATCCCAGGCTGCACTAAGCAGACAGCTCTTCTGTTGGGCTGGACCAGTTTTTAGACTAGGTCCATAATAAGAGCACATTTGCACACTGAAAGGGGTGGGCTGTGAGGGTGGAGGAGCCTCTCAGCAGCCCACTTTGTCAGAACTGGCTCCCAGATAGCCCCTTCACACAGCTTTAGCTCTCACTCCCATCAGTGTCATTGGATCCTCTGAGGGCAAGCAACAGGGCTAGTGCCGGTGAATGCCATGTGGCAAGTTCATTACCCTCACACATCTCACCCCACACACTCCCAGTGGAGAACTCTTAACAGACAGCCCATACGCCATCATTCAGTGAGAGCGAGCATATTTTCTGCCCCAGGGGGCCCCCTGAAGACAGCTGAGGCTGGGTGCAGTGGTTCACACCTGCAATCGCAGCACTTTGGGAGGCCGAAGTGGGCGGCTCTCTTGAGCCCAGGAGTTTGAGACCAGACTGAGCAACATGGCAAAATCCCACCTCAACAACAAGAAAAATACAAAAATGAGCCCGGCATGGTGGCGTCAGCCTGTGGTCTCAGCTACTCAGCAGGCTGAGGTGGGAGGATCACCTGAGCCCAGGAGGTCGAGGCTGCAGTCAGCCATGATCTCGCCATTGCACTCCAGCCTGGGTAACAGAGCAAGACCCTATCTTGGCCGGGGCGGTGGCTCACGCCTGTAATCCCACCACTTTGGGAGGCCGAGGCGGGCGGATCACGAGGTCAGGAGATGGAGACCATCCTGGTTAACACGGTGAAACTCCGTCTCTACTAAAAATTCCAAAAATTAGCCAGGCGTGGTGGTGGGTGCCTGTAGTCCCAGCTACTCGGGAGGCTGAGGCAGGAGAATGGCGTCAACCCGGGAGGCGGGGCTCGCAGTGAGCTGAGATCGCGCCACTGCACTCCAGCCTGGGCGACAGAGCGAGACTCTGTCTCAAAAAAATAAATAAATAAATAAAAATTTTTTAAAAAGCTGAGCCTCATGAGTGGTTCACATCACTCAAGGCTTTGTTCTACATTCACCCCTTTCTGCTTCTTCCCATTTCCCCTTCTCTTTATTAAAGCAAACAAAGTAAGATGCAAGATTCCCACTGCTAGTTCTTGGTCCCCAATGCTGCAGGGGAGTCAGGGACATGAGAACTAACACGCTTTCTTAACGGAGCCTCCAATGTAGCAGGCATCGGAAATTGAGGTGGACTCAGAGTTGGGGTTTCCTGAGCCAATTGTTATCATCCCTGGCTGCCTCTTCCGGCCTCCAACAAATTCAGCACCATGAAGCTTCAAGTGCTCCAAAGCCAAAAGCAGAGGAAATGAATTTTCAAACTGAAGACAGTGGAAGGTAGTGGAAAGAGCTTCACACCTTATTCCTAAAGATTTACTCCATTGCCAACAACTTACCAAACACCTCCCATGTCCCGCCATTATCTCCCACCTAGCACAGTGCTGTAAAGAGCCCTAAAAGGCAGAAGAAAGAGTCTTCTTTTTTTTTTTTTTTTTTTTTTTGAGGAGTCTCTCCCTGTCGCCCAGGCTGGAGTGCAGTGGCGTGATCTCGGCTCACTGCAAGCCCTGCCTCCCGGGTTCAAGTGATTCTCCTGCCTCAGCCTCCCAAGTAGCTGGGTGCCCACGACCACATCTGGCTAATTTTTTGTATATTTTAGTAGAGACAGGGTTTCGCCAGGTTGGCCAGGCTGGTCTTGAACTACTGACCTCAGGTGATCAACCCACCTTGGCCTACCAAAGCGCTGGGATTACAGGCATGAGCCACCATGCCTGATCCAAAAGAAAGAATTTTCTAAGCCCTAAGAAGCAGAAGTATGGACTTCATTTCCTAAGCAATGGGATTTGGAGGATTTTGAGTGATTTGAGCAGGGAGGGCCATGAGACAGGGAGTGTTTTTAAAAGATCACTCCAGCTGCAGGGTGTTTGCTTGATTGGACGGACAGAGAGACTAGGAGCAGGAAGACATAGGAGGAGATGACTCCAATAATGTTGAGCCAGCAGAGTGACATCTAGGCATTGTGACAATAAATGCTTGTTGGTGTGAATGGACCTGACTTGGGGCTCAAAGAGAAGGAACAAATTTGAGAGATGTCTTAAAGAAGGGATGAGCCTCTGCCGGGCGCGGTGGCTCACGCCTGTAATCCCAGCACTTTGGGAGGCTGAGGAGGGCAGATCACGAGGTCAGGAGTTCAAAACCAGCCTGGCCAACATGGTGAAACCCCGTCTCTACTAAAAATGCAAAAATTAGCCGGGCGTGGTGGCAGGAGCCTGTAATCCCAGCCACTCAGGAAGCTGAAGCAGGAAAATCCTCAAACCCAGGAGGTGGAGTTTGCAGTGAGCCGAGATTGTACCACTGCACTCCAGCCAGCCTGGGGGACAGAGAGAGACTCTGTCTCAAAAATAAATAAATAAGTAAATTAAAAAAGAAGGAATGAACCTCAAGGAGTGATTGGGCAAAGGGCGCAATCACAAGGGTCTAAGCCCGGGAGCTCAGACTGACAGCACTATGGAGAGACACAGGAAAGCCAGGAAAAGACGCTTGTTTAGTGGGGATGACAAGGAGTCTGGTTTTAAATTAGCTGTTACTAAAAAAATTACATTTATCAGATTTTTTATTTTGTGGAAGTAATCAATGTTCTCTGTAGAAATTTTAGAATATACAGATAATAATAAAGGAGAAAATCAAAATCAACCATAGTATCACTCTCCAGAGATAAACACTGTTAATTTTATTTATTTATTTTTTCAAGATGGAGTTTCACTCTTGTTGTCCAGGCTGGAGTGCAGTGGCACAATCTCGGCCCACGGGTTCAAGCGATTCTCCTGCCTCAGCCTCCAGAGTAGCTGGGACTACAGGCGTGCACCAGCACACCCAGCTCATTTTTGTATTTTTAGTAGATATGGGGTTTCACCGTGTTGGCCAGGCTGGTCTTGAACTCCTGACCTCAAATGATCTAGTCACCTCGGCCTTCCAAAGTGCTGGGATTACAGGAGTGAGCCACCATGCCCAGCCACTGGTGACTCTTAGAATCCTTATTTCTTTTGTATCTGTTACCCAGGGTCCAATACACCTAAATTAACTGAGGAGTTTGGGAAAGAAGGGACATGG